CAGTTGCTCACTCTGCTTAAACCACAGCTCTAGGTATATTACGGCAAGATCGAACAAAATGCAAGGTTCTGCCTTAACGCAGTTCCCTTGCGCCTTCTGTAGAGTACCGAAGTGTGACGTCGCCCTGAAACAGAAAGTGTAGTGCAAACGAATGCCGTAATACGTGCGCATGTTGGTCAACGCGCTGATTCTCGCTCTAATGCCTTTTATACGCACAGTTCTGCGCGTGACGTAGTCACTTTGGTACTCTATCCGGTTCGTGAGTTCGTCACAAAGGTGGACGCCCCACAATTTGCAGGCTCTCATTGGACGATCGCAGAAGTTGTACGTTAACTTCCGATTCCATGACGGCACCCTACTAAATCAAAAAGCAAAAATGGCTTCATAGTATTTTATAGCTGGAATTCTTCAAGAGTGTGTAAATTCCCTATACCGAGGGGAATTTAGTCAAGTGCTGTATCGGCTACAGTACCCGGCCGTTGTTTTGAATGGGAGCTGTCCGTCCATTTATGGTTGCATTACGCCAAATACTCACCCACTGGGGTGCATTCCTCCAAATGGTTGTATTTCCGCGCGGGAGCTCCTTAATTCTTGGTGATCCCACGGGATTTTTACAAAAAGACTTGCCATAATAAAGAGGGATCATAGAAATATTTCTATTAATCCCGAATTTGGGACTGATAGTTTACAGTTCTGGGTGTTTCTTTCACAAATTGTGGACCTATTTTGGATAGAAGCGGGCGGCTACGGTCAGAGCTGTGCGCATAGTTTTACTACTATTTGGCGATATCTTTGGGGAGAGGTGAATTTTTTAAAAATGCTAATGGTATGGCTAACCCCAATAAATTTGAAACAAAATGTCATCTTCTGGCCGTAATCTTGAATTTCCAGTGAAAAAACGGAGGCCAACCTCTTCCCCAGAGTAACTAGGCGGCGCTTTTTCAGACCGATTTTGCACTATTTTTTATGGGTGCGTATTTGGTGTAGTGCAACCTGTAAAGACAAGATGGCGGCGCCCATGGCAATAGATCAAATTATTATAAAGGTACGTCTATTTGAATACCAGAAGTTATGAAAACTAGCCAACAGTTTTTCAAATAACCTCTTCATAAAACGCTTGAACCCAATAGCGTTAGCACTTTAGCATGCGCGCAACGTCTTCATCAAAATGCATTTACAAATAGTACTTTAGGTGTTAAGTTTTGGTGATGCGGGTACAGTTCTTTTAGCCCTGACAAGTAGGCCTAACATAGCAAAAATAGCTTATGCCGTGTGACTATCTCTCGGCCAGTTAAGATGCCAATTCGTATGACAGTCACATTGTTCGGTTGTTCCATAATTCACTTTTTAGGTATCTTTCAAACGAATTGTAGATGGGTATAGGCTATTTTAATTACGAAATTGTTTTCATATTCCTCAAGCTTACATACCGGGCGTTAAGATCTCTTACCATACGTGTTTGCCTTTTGGTGTAGTATTTGGCGTGGCAATTGAATAAATTCCTGTTCATTGTCCAAATACAATTTTTCACCATTATCATTATTACATGATTTTTATTGTCCTGGATATTTGACGTTTGGGAACCAGCATCTGACATTTTAACCTTTGAACACATTGGTTTAAAGACGCCGTGAGATAGGATATCTTCAGACTACCATGAACAGCGCAAAACGCATGTTCATGCCATTATTGATACATTTATTATTGTAGTAATACAAAAAATGTTTAAGATCACTGTGTATTTCAAAGTTTGTTTGGTTTGGTGTTTCTTTGGTTCTGAGGTCGCAGAATATGAAGAGTTGATCTCATTTGATTGGACATTTTTGTCAAAGTTCTTGAAGCTTATATATTCAATTGCTGCTGTGGCGTTTTATTCCCCAAAGAGCCAGCCAAGCTCATTTTTAGGGCAAACAATTACAACTGTCGGGGAAAGTCACCTGACATAAACTTAAACTATCTGCCTTGGCCTTTAAGTTTGACGAGCAATCTAAAGTCCAGGGGTTAGGGGTCGTTTGGGCGGAAATATACCACCAATTGGTAATTGATTTGGTGACCCGGTCGACTGATACGACAATGAGCCTGTGCGAGCACAAGGAATTTTTTACCGGCTAGATCAAATGATCTTATTTAACATACTGTCTGGTGGCACAAATCAACGCAGGTGTGAGGGTTGGCGGCAATACAATACTATAAACCCTTCAGTGTCTGACAGTTCAAAGTGATGAATTGGTGGTGTTTTGTACCCGTATTTGCGCAATCTAAACCAGTGCTTCACAAAGAAAAGACCCTGAACAACCATTCTAATCATTTCAGACAAATTTTGAAAATGACATTTATTACAAGACTCAGCAGGTTTGGGTTTTTCACTGAAAATTTAGACAGTTCGTAGCAGTACACGTTGGGACAAACAATATCCTGTTTTTCACAAGACAGGTATAAAGTTATTGCTGTCTTACGGGAACTTGTTTTGCAAATGTATTAGTATGGCTGTTATTTAACTTGGGGGCTGCTGCCGACTAAATCGGGATTCCTTCTTATTATGCAACTAGCACTTGGCTCGTATCCATTTGTCGTTAATAGTTTTTCGATCTTTGCGGTGGCACCATGGATATATCTCTTTTTTAAGTAAGTGGGGATCTTGCCTCGCATGGAATTTTTTAGAAATGAATTAATCAAGTAAATGTAACTGGCATTCTGGGTGTGGGCCCACTTCGTCTGTCTTAAAATTTGCGATGTGGCGACCGGAGTGTGTGAGTGTGGGGGGGGGGGGGCAAATTTAAAAGCAAATGCACTTTCGGGCTCAGTCACTATCACAGGGGAAAAAATATAGCTCATTTATTTGATAATTAAATATACCCATTTTTTTCTTTCCTACTCACCTATGAAGTATTTTCTGTCAAAAAGAAATAATAGAAAATAAAAATCAGAAGGGTCCGTTGGGGGCAAGTTGCCCCCTGCCCCCCACCCCCCAGCCAGATATGCCACAGACACACTCACAAATATATTGGGATTCTTACACGGTGACTTAGAAAATACTAAGAAAATGGCCATGACCAGCGCTGTTTAGTCCAAAAAGCTGATCTATGGAGTTGTTAACTTGGTTGCCAAAGTTCATTGCATTGGTTTTCGCCCATGCCGTGATCAGTGTTTAATTAACGCCTTGATTATTTAAATGTTCACGTGTGTATGATATTGAAGTGGTCTGTATTTGTAAATATTATATGTTTGTCGTATTTGTCAATTTTACTTTTCATTATGAGTTTCTAACTATTGTATTAATTTATGTTCGCAGGGTCCCAATGGAAACCAGTTTGAAACTGTTTGGGCATACCCTGGGTAAAGAAATGGAATGAATAAAGAAATAAACTGGATGGAGCATGGCTTAGCATCAAAATGACATGCAAGGTTCAATTCTTACCAGTGCTACAAAATTGATGCTTGTCAGTGGCAACTACAGCAGAGTAAGGCCTATACAGAACACTTGTCAATTAACATGGGCAATGAGGACATACTCTACGTCATTACTGTAAGGGACCAACATCATATTGCTACTAATTCGTGGGGATCACGGGTAGTTGTGAAGACGTCGATAACCATATTTGGTGTTGGTACCATCGAGCTCGTTCCACGACCAAGACATTGCGTGCATGTCTTGCCATCTGCTCTTTAAAAGTTATCACACTTTGGCAGTCCTTTTCTATTTCAAGAGGAAACATTCGCAATATGGGTTCGAAATCCATGTCAATGTTTACGTTTAGAAATAAACAGTACACACACTTTATACGCACTCTCTTTTGTAAAACTCAGGAATGTTTAATTACATGTAATGTTTAGTTAAATTTAATGGGTGTTTTTGTGTTGCATTACTACAAGATCTGGCAAATTCGAATCACTTATACAACGTGTGCATAGCATGTGCAATGGGGCGTTTTTCGCCCACACCTGATCTATCCTCAAAGTCGGTTGGATTACTTGTGTGCAAGATAAATGTAGATAACCATGGAACGGTGCCGAGGCAACTCTTAATACTTCAACGCACTTGTAATGTTTCTTCTTGTGCGAATCACCTCTCTCGCACCAAGACAATTTACTGATACTACCACTTGTTAACTTGGGTGTTTTGACACAGTTCATGTTCCAATGCAAAGGTTGTTAATGTTACATTGCATAGGTTCAATTTGGACAGGAGGCATAAATCCAGAAATGAAAATTACTCGACTCGTGCGAGTGAGCTATCCGCGTGTATGTTTATTGTCGAAGCTACAACCACGATATCTCATTATGACTAAATGAATGGACAACGGAGACACGGCATGGTGTCTTGATGCTTCGCATGCAAGAGTGAAAATAAGCCTTTTGCGATCGCAAGTTAACTTTGACCCAAAACTGGTGCACTGGGTTCTTTAAATTCACGTGAACATAACAACTTAAATTCTCCCTGCTAAAACCGCTGTTGCTATACCTCGTGATTCGGGACAAGTTTTTGCTTAGTTACATAAGAGACGCTTTGCAACAATACACCGTTCTCAATGGATAAGAAGGGCACAAAGGAACCAGTCCATTCCAGAGATGGTGGTCGCTATGCAAAAGCTTGCCCCGAATCACAAGGTATAGCAACAGTGTCTTTAGTCTGGGGAATTCAAATCGTTATGTTTATGTGCAGTTAGATCATAACTCAGTGCACCAGATTTATTCAAATTTAACTCGCAAATGGCTTATTTAGTACACACTCTCGGGTCAAAGATCATAAGAATACATTGCTCTGGGACACGTGCAGAGAAGATTTTTCTGTTGTGCCTCCTTATCGCTAGAGGGGTATTTCTGTCTTTTTCATTTCTCTTCCGACATCACTAAACAGCTCAATCGGTAGAGCGGCAAAACACGTAAAACGTGTCTTTTCTCTCACTTCCATTGAACTGTTCTCACATTGTGAAACCGTGAAGGAAAAAAGAACAAATATTTCCTAGTCATTAGTTCATTCAGTTATAATAATTACGTACACAGCATTTTGGAAATGCCCCTCCCCTTGGGTTTAGTTCGGCTGGTGGCTGCCAGAACAACGTTGGCCTGGGTTCAGAAAGGAGGTGCGAGTAAATGGCATATTTACACAGCATATCAAACTGGGCTCAAGAAGAATTCAGGGACAGAGTCCTGTGATTAATTTTCATCTTTTTTCCAGCTTAATGTTTTCTTGAACAAAGGAAGCAAGCTGATGCACCCACTTCTTACAACCACTCTAGGGCGTGTTTTGTTGACCAAACCCGTGAATTTGTGTTGAGTTGCGCGAGCTGGTCACTGGTTAAGTGTTTTCCCGACTTCGGTTATGCCTCTGTGATCTGACATCAACGTTCCAACCTAACGAGAACCAAGAGTTGGAGTTGGTTTAGCACCGAGTCAAAATGGCGGAAAATAAACAGTTTTGTCACCCCTAAGTGAGTGAATTATACATTTCAAATTTGTTCTTACATGCAGTGAATCAGGGAGATACTTCAGTTCTTCTAGAACGTACGCGAAAAGAGAGATTAGCACTGGAGAGAAACATGCCTAATATTGAGCGAAAATGATGTTCATCAGCAGTGTCGTCGCTTGTCTTTCCGTCAGATGAATTAACCATTTCTGGTTCTTCGTTTTCATGCTCCTGATTATTGCTTCGACGTCGCAAATATGTTTTTGGTTAGAGGTCGCCAAAACACGTCCTTGACAGCGAGAGTTTATGTGGGGGTGCCGTTGACATTATTGCAATTATCCTGCTGTGCCTCAATGACGCTGATAACAGACTACACAGAGACATTAAAGGGGCACAGGCAGCTACAAGTATTATTTGCCGCATGTGCAAATAACATTTTCTTTCAACTTCATGGTTGCAATTCGATTTTAAAATGTAAAATTTAATTTTATTATCACAGCTATTTTCTCGTCATAACTAAATAGGCTTCTGATCAGATATGTTGCTTGCTCTCTTCGACTGCTTTTAATATTGAATATTCCACATGAAAATAGCAACACTGTAGAAGTATAATTAATCATTCCAAATTAATTATGTATTCCAATAATGTTGGTTTAATATGCACAACTACTCAACCAGTCGATGACTGTCAAACAAATGACTTGTTTCAGTTAATGATACAAATTGTAAAAGTGTTGGGGTGACTGCTCTAGCAACCCATGGGCTAAGCAGGAGTGAGGGTAAGATTTTAAGAAGTATGAAACTACGGGAATTTGCAGCAGCACATGCCAACTGGAACGCGACCTGGATAGCACAAGACAGTCGCTAGAAAGTTTGTCCAAATTTGGTCGAACGAACTGCAGCTTTGGCAAATTTTGTAGCGATTCATAAAGGGTTGACGACGCTAAATTGCTATTAATTACACTCAATCGTTGGTGCACCAAATACGAGTCTGAGCTTGCCCCACCATCTCCTGTCGAGAGATTGTTTCAGAAGAGTATTCCGTAAGTTTCCACCCATTGTATATTTTTGGTTTGAGTAGAGAAAAAAAAGGAATATGCGGCATGTTGAACTTCTTCTGATCTGCTGATTCCTTCTGATTTGTTTCTTAAAAAGAAAAAAAGGTTGATCTAGTTTGCCTTCTATCCAGTGTCTCTAAACCTCCTCATACCGAGCATTTAGCGAATTCCGTGCCTTACTTCTTCTTTCCCCCAACTCTGCGGCCGAGTAGAGCTTTCTCCAGTCCCATGACAGGACCTTCCACGCCGATAGCTAGTATAAAGGCCGCAGCGTAGGACAGGACGGTGTTCGAAATAACGGTTGAAGCCTGTGGGAGATTTGGTTGAAAGAGCAGTACAGATCTATAAATACTGTGAAACAAATGTTTCTATCATAACAGTTTAGGAAGGATAGTGATTGCAACGTAGAATCCCGCAATTTGTTGAGTGGAGAGCACAATTTATAAGTGTTGGAAGTCAAAGATTTCTGAAATAAAATTAATACCGTGAATTTTAAAGGAAATTTTATACGACCATTAAAAAATGCGTCCTTTTAAATTTCTTTCCATTTTGGGATGTTTCTTTGTTCATGTCGTTTGTTTTTTGCATGGAGGGGTTGAAAAACAATAGTGGCAGTATTATTGTAAATTCTCAGTCCCGAAATTGGATAAGATCTCCAGTTTAATGAAACAACATTTTGAAAGTGGATTTGCAAGAAAGCAAATGGGGGGAATGTTACTCACCATCATCAAGTAGGTGAAATGATACTGGGACTTGGCAGAGGAGTAGAAGGTGTAAATGAGGTTTGTATGAAGGAGGTAAGCACAGAAATTGATGCGGCTCAAGGGGGTCCAGAAACTCCAACTCAGGAAGCTGTTGACAGGTCCTTTGGATAAGATAAAAGTATTTTACACTGTTGTTATAAATGCACTGTCACCTGTTCCATCGCTGTGTCGTTAGCTCTCACTGTCATCGTCATTATGATCGTAAAGATTTCATCCTCTTAATCCAAGCTTAGATTTTTTTTTGGGGGGGTGCTTCACTATTGAAGTTTTCATTGTAGGTAGTGGCGTAAGTCTGTGTTGGAAATCGTTGGATGGGGGATGGGGAAAGGGGGGATGACTTGCCCAGCTATGGAATTTCAAAAGCAGGGGGGCGACACCATATACACTATATAGGGGGACAGTATTCACGAAAAGGATGTACATCTGCAATGTGTATCAAATTCATGCAGAATGACACAACTATGGCTTTTTAAGAAAGGTTTTCCCATTTTGGTGAGCGCCATTTTAGTTGTTAGAAAATCCTAAAAATTCGTCATAATTCGCTGTCAATTTTTGCTCATCACAAAAGGGGGGGGACTCAATATCCTATCCCTGACCTCAAAAAGTGGGAGGGGGGAAAATACCCCCATCCACCCAGGATTTACGCCCATGTTGTCAGTCATTCTCCTAGATGAATGATTATGTAATCCATTTTTGCACCCGGAACTGGAGTTATGTACACGTGACTTTTATTCCGTACGCCACCTTTTAACACACGATAAAGATGTACATCTTAATGTGTATCAAATCAATGCACAGTCTTACATCAGAATGGTAACTATATCTATGGCTTTCAAAACTGTTTTCCCTTTTAGTTATATTGCGAAAATTTTAGTCGTTGGTAAATCCTGAAAATTCTTCACAATGCGCTATATTTTTTTTCTCATCAACTTCCCACTCAACTTCACCGTTAACTGGAAATGTTCCGATTTTCGCCCATGATTGTGAGTAAACTTTACCTTTAACTGTCATAACATCACAATAACAAGATGCCTATGTGGGAAAGAAATCTTGACTGGCGCACGTATTTTAGGGCTATGGTCGACTCACTGGATCGCCCACATTTGGTTATAATCATAAACTTCATTTGTCATTTTCAACCACAAACATTGCCATTGATACCACCACTGCCAGTGCTACTGCCATTCGCACTGTGATTGGCAGTGTTAACAGCTTTGAGAAAAAAACGATATTATCACTCAAGATTCACGAGATGGTGTGAATTACACTTTTGTCTCCACTTGAAATTAAAGGAAGTTGTAAGCAAGATGCATTACCTCCGTAGCCCACGACGCAGGAAAACGTTACCCAGCCCACAGCCACGGCAAAGCCTGCTCGACTAAGTGTAGTGTACATCACCGCAGCATACTGTGGTAGGGGTTCTCCATCGCTCCGAAACGGTCCGTAAATGATAGCCAGACCCGCACCAACGGCTGCAATCCACATGATGACGTTGACCCACTGAAAACAGAAATGATACAGGGATGGTTGTTGGTTTGATAGGAGTGAAGTTGGCTCCGGCCTCTCATCATATTTCTGGATCCACTACCAATATTGGCATGGAAGGTGTATCATGCATCAGTAATCAGCAAGATGTTTGTCGGCTCATTAGGTTTTGAGTTAAGCCTGGTTTCCATATGATCGTTTCTAACGCAGACGGTCCAGAAGTCGTCAAGGCGCAAAGAAGAGACGCTGAGCGACGTCATTCCACCAAAAAAACAAAAACGCGGAAATTTTTCACAAAAAATACCTATTTAGGGGGCAATCTTGGCTCTTGAAGCTAAACTGATATTCCACTTTGATGTAATTTGTTAATGTTCAGCTATTTTATTGACGATCAGGTTGCATTTGCTAGTAATAAGGAAAAACTTGACAAAATGAGTGGTACTAAGCGAGAGAAACATCGTTGTACTCCAGTCACGCTAGAAGTAGTAAAAGGAGAGTTCTAGCTCAAACCCCCAAAATTGAAAAAATCTCCTCCAAAATCCCAACCCCCACAAACACCATGCCCCTCACCTTTGCCACCCAATTTCAACACGCCAAACTAGTCGCAGCCCACACCGACTGGTTAGCCATCTTTTCCACGACGGTGAAATGAGACCTCATAGTCCAAGCGAAAAAAAAGACGTGCAGCGCCAAGGCATCGCATCTGCTTGGTGCGGGAGACGAAAGACGTTCTTGAATGTTATCGACCGCATCAGATATTTATTCCCGAGTATTTAGTTTGACCATAAAATACAAAATGAAAAAATAGTGACATAAAATAAAATCAACTCGCAACATCCATCAAACATGGAAACTAAAAAAGTGTAACAGTTGTCACAAAGAATAACCGCTGATGGAGTTTAAGGGGTTAAAAATGAAACTAATAAATCACATACGAATAGCTGTTTAAATGTATTATACGCAATGAAATATGGAGAACATGCAAACACTGATTATATGCAAACTAGATACGAAAGGAGAATCTGTGTACCAAGGGTATATAAATGTTGTCACAACCATTTTAAATATAAATGCGTAAAATGCAAAAAAGCACTGTCTTGTTCTTAAAATGAAATTAACCCATTTAATGCGGCGTTTGCATCTTGGATTTATCTAAAACGTTAATGTACAATTTTTATTACAATACGTTGAAACAAGATTTGAACGACAAAATAAAGTTGATGTACACCGACACAGATTCGTTGTTGGTACATGTCGAAACCGACGACATACAATTTGGGGGGTTTGAAATAGAACTCTACTTTTACTACTACTCCAGTGTGCGTATTTGTACAGGCCTACTAAGCGACTCAACGCAGACAGTCGACAAAGTTAACCGGGCTCAACATTACCGATCAGGCTGGGTCTGGTTTGCATTATGTCTGGGTTATCGGTTATACTTCCGTTTGGCATGTCTCCATTTGTCTGCGTTGCAATTTGCGTCTTGGTTGAGTTGCTCTCTGCCTTTCTTACTTCGATATGGAATCCAGACTTTAAGCTGGTTCGGTGTTCCGTTCATTTAGTCATCATTACTTGCTTTTATGGTATAACAGTCGGTTTATGATTAAGCTGGTTGGATTTGGGTCGAATTGGGTTGGACTGCGTGAACGTTGGTCGAATGGTTTGTTACGGTTGGACTTGGGGTCTGTAGTGGGATGGGGCTGCAAGGGCTAGTATATAAGTTGAGCTTGGTTAGCTTGATTATTCCAAGGCTCCAATGGGCCCTATGTGGAGTTAGAGTCAGGTTGATTGGTTTTTATCAGCGAAGCCCCAACTTGAAGAACTGCAGAACAAGTGTGACGGAACGAGCCGTCAGGGGCGGTGATTCTAAAAATATTCTGGTAAATGTACAATATTAAAGTGCGCCCCCAGGTGAGAGCACGAAACACACGTTCTTGACAATTGCTGCTTAGGCGTCGAGGATTACACCACGCTGTGGAAGCTTGGTGAGGTCAGCAACGTGGGTCCCATTTAGAGGGTTATACTCTTGTTCAATCTCTGTTCGGGACGGGAGGCTGTGAGATCAGCTTAGTTGTTGGCCTTAGCTGGCGGAGCCGAATTGCACCCGTTCTATTGAGCGGGGAAGTGCTGTACTGGCTAGTGTGTAAAGAGGGGCCTTCGGAAGAAACTTACAGTGAGAGTCAAGACTTCTTTACTGAGCTGAAGTTCTTAGCATTGCTTTAAAGTGAATCGTTAAAAAGCTAGGGATTGTATGAAAGTCAGGCTGTTGGTTCGGATTAGGCTAAGTAATCAGTAATCGGGCGATATTATCGCTGGTAATTTTGGTAAAGGGATATCGAGGTTTAGTCTGCGTAATCTATTTTGATAACCCTCCGCTGAGAGGTATGCTGATTGGGTTGATACTGAGAGCGGTTTTGGTAATTTCAATAAAGTTGCCGAAGTAACCCTCAGGCCCAGAGAGTAACAAACCTCTGGTAAGCTTTGGGACACTTGATATTGGTGTATTTATTAGTGAGCTTTCCTCATTATTTGTGTCCTACCTATTGAGCGAGAGGGCCAGAATAAACCCGCTGAGAGTTGTATAAGGCTCTTGCGTGTTTCTCTTCACTTGTGTAAGGAAGAGAGCTCTTTAATCCTTTCCCGTCGGTATACTGTCAACAAACGGGCAGGCCTAGAACAACAGTTCCCCATTCGTGACAACCCCCCCCCTCCAGCATGTATAACCTCTCATGCCCATGGGAGGATAATAAATATTCTGGGTGGGGGAAGAACCACCGCACAACGTTTGGGCTAAGGTAAGGTGTTGAGTTTGCGTAGGGATGGCTTCAGTGGCGTATCCAGCTTCGGTTTACTGTTAAGTTGCACTGGCGGACAAGTTACATGTGTCAATTATAAAAATATTTAGGCATCGAAATCGCCAGTATTCCAGAAACAGATAGTGATGAGAATTTATCTTAGATGGAATCATGTCATCATTCGCTTTAAAGAAAGGTGCTCATTCCCCCTGTCCGCCAGACTGAAAACAAGTATACGCCACTGCAAGGTCTTTCAGCTCAGTCTGCGTAGGGATAGGTTCAGCTGAGCTGGGTCTGATAGATTCGCTTGCATTGGGCTAGGTAATGATTGTTTTGGTCTAGGGATTTCAGCCACGCTCTTACCTTGTTCATCTTGAAGGGCTGACCGTTGAGCCTGTAAAAGATGTACCCAAATACCATGCCCACCAAATAAGGAGGGATGCGACAATATGGCTTCATGTATATGACATCTGCAGCAGCATTTCCATAGACAACAACAGTATTGTTATTGTATGGTCTGGTAGTAAAAATGATAATATAATTTACAAAAAATCATCTATATTGTCCCACTTTTTCCGTTATGCAGCGCAAAGAAGTAGGAGTTTAAGCTTACACAAACAGCCATGTGTCATATAATTTTGATCAAAATGCATGAAAGTCCTTAAGTCAATGTAAGGTCGTTACTAGACCGATTCTTTAACAGGGTCAAGCGTCTTGAAATAAATTAATGGACTGATGAGCATGCTTTTGTTTTAGCAAATATGTTCATTTGACGAAAGCACTAACTTGTTGGGATACACGAAAAGCGCCATAATGGATAAATTCGCCGTTTTGTAGGCTTGGTTCTGTTCCGCATACAGAAATGACAATCGGGTAGGAACGAGCAGATATTTTCGAACTTCGCATTTTGTGTGGGTAAAAGTACTGACGTATTACAGAGCAAACTCCATAGATCCAATAAATCAACTCATTGTACTACATAGCAACTTTGAGTAAAATCATAGTTTGAGTTTCATTTGTAATGGATAATATTTATTTTGTAATATTGGGAGATTGGGACAAACGACCATTGACGTTGACTTTCATGACAAGTGTTGCTAGAACAAGTCCCAAATTTCTTACTTTTCATAAATGCTAATGATGTTTCATTTTTTTTCTTTTCTTGGTCTCCCTTTCTAATGGCTTCAACCTTTGACCAAACATTGATCTGCCGGTGAATAGGATTTGGTTGATTTTTTCATTTTTTTAATAAATACAATTCATCACGACAAAGCCAGTTTTACAATTCAACAACACTGATGTATGTTTACAAATAGAAGAAGTCTAAAGCAGCAGTCAGATTATCATCAATACAGGTTGAATACGTACGGGCTGACTCCAAGCGATACACCATAGTAAGTGGCTAAGTAGGCAGTGATGCCAAAGGAACCCAAACACAATGCAACAATCAATCCAATTCCAAGCTTGGAATACCTGAAAAAAGGAAACATCACGGTGTATTAAAACAGGTTATGTGAAATACAGAACTCTTGATGTTTTGTATTCGATAAAGTAGTAAATTATTAGTTCGAAATAGTGAGAATTAAATACATTCTGACTTCACAACGCAATGAAAAATTATGATATTACTCTGTTCTCCCCCTTTTTAAATTGTCTCAGACTGGAACCGGTAAGACGAGCCAGTAAAATTTGTTTTGTCGAATACGAGATTTTTTCTCCAGTTTTCATAAGCCTTTTTTGAGGTAAATTTGAATACAATCCAGTACACAGACTCATCTTACTGCACATAAACATAGAAATTTAAATTACCCACACTGAAGACACTGTTGCTAGACCTTGTGATTCGGAGCAAGCTTCTGCATAGCGACCACCAGTTCTGGAATAGACTGTCGTTTTTGCCTTCCTTTTCCATTGGAAACATTATATTGGTGCAAGGCGTCTCTTAATACTGAGCAAAAACTTGTCTGTGAGGTTTAGCATTTGTGTATTTAGCATGGAGAATTCAAATCGTCATTTTCGCGTGAATTTAAGGAACTTGGTGCACCAGATTTATTCAAATTTAACTCAAAAAACGTTTATTGTAGTGTTTCCTTTTGAAAAATATTTCCATTTTAAGTAAATAGGATAGATTTTCTCCTGTACTTACCTATACAGTAGATAAATGATAACAGGACTGATCACGAAGAACTGCATGTCGTTCGCCAGATACCAGGACCAACCCACACACTATAACAGTCATGAGAAAAATATAGAATTATGTGAAAGTTTGACACGACATAGATTCTCATGTTGATTTCAATTAAAAACAGCTCGGAAGTTTATTTATTGGAACTGCACAAAGCAATGCAATTACATGTATTACTTGACAGCGCTTTAATTTAAACTTCTGCAAAACAAAACTTGATATGGATGTGAATGAAATGTTTGTTTACACTCAGCAACATTTGACGAGACGATGAATTTTACTCTTAGATAAAATTGAAAATATCACAGAAGTCGTATCTGAAAAGTCGCGTCATATGTCCATGACTGCAGTGTAAAGTATTTATCTCCTTTTGTATTCAAAATATGTCTTTCAATTAACAATTTATACCGAATACTTGGATCTTGAAGGCCGTACGTCAGAAGTAAGGCCTATCGGCAAGCAATGTGCGAGCCGTACCAAACGACAGGCCCTGGAAAAAACTGGTGTATCTACAGTATAATATCAACGTGCTCAAAATCGGTTCTCGTCTACTCTGGCCTCGGTTTTTACGTTTATGAGACATATTTATCTAGAGTGAATTCCTTGTAGTTGCTGATCAGAAGCAGTTTTCATGGCACAGAGGAGGAGAGCAAAAGGTTTTGTTGCCCATTTTGTTGTGCAGTGTACGTTTCCAGACAGATTTTTGACTGGTGACTTGCAGGGCATTTTTAACAGATTTGTGTCTTAATTCTGCTTATAAAATCTGGAAATTTTGGGTCCGTGTCGTTTACCTGTTCGCCTAAACTACCGGGAAACGGATACAAGTTGTTGATGTAGAGTAGGTTTGTCCACCATCGCTCCCGGCAGATTCTCGCTGAGCTTTCGAATAGTTCAATTTGGCCTGGACCCTCATTGAAATGGACGATCAAGGTGGAAAAGACAGCGATGCAGATCATGTAGGCCGGAGTGATGCGGATGAAGCGGTGGAGATAGAAGAGAGCCCAGTTCATTCTACCGTTGGATTTCTTGAGATGCTTCAAGGTATTGTACACAAGAAGGAGACCACTGTGGTATTGTAAACAAGGAAGGAACTTAAGAACAGCTCAAATTCTGCAAAGGCAGATGCATAGTTAAATGTTCTGGTGGTCGGAAAATTTTTGTGGGGTGATTTGGGGTATCAATCTGGAAATTTCTTCAAGTAACCTTTTCAAGCCTTTTTAGA